TGTAAACAAGGATTGGCATTCAGAAAGCATACCTTGAGGAGCGCTGATAGTCGTTATGAAAGAGACAAAATAGTTTGATGGGTGGCTGATGAAATGACATAATGATAAGTAATGCGCAGTGAGCAGAGTGCAATGAAAGAAGATAGTATGAAATAGACCACTACCAGGAATACCTACTATAATTACTGTTGTCATCTTGTATGATCTAATTTACACGCACTGTAATGACATCATCGAGCTTCAAACTGAACCACTGCGAATAAAGCCAGTTATTGAATATACGCTTATCCATAATGAACAGTAGCGCACAGAATAGCCAAGCCACATATTCTTACTTCTTCTAGTCCGCATTTTGTACATTATCCTGTGACCGCACTCTTTACATCGAATCGGTTCTTTTGGTTTTATCTCGTTTGCCGTACCGCAGTCTGTAAATAAAAACAACTACGTTAGAGTCTCCTAATCTTCTAAGTTGATCGGTTATGTTGAAAATGGTCAAAGCGATCGTGCTGCTGTCTCATAAAAGTATTCTATTAAGACTGTACCAGCACATAGGTATGACATTTGCGGTGCAGGCTTGTTCGTCGGTTGCGTCGCGCTCGACGTACTAGATCCCTGCTGTTGATCGCGGTTCATTATCGTTATTGCGTTATTGTAAGATTTACAGACTGTTTGGTCACTTTACACTTGTGTATACAAAATTTTATTCATATTGATATATTAATATGATTGGCTAAATGGGGATCTACGTCACGTTAATTCAAGATACTCCACACGCGCCCACCGCGTTATCTTTATCTTTTAACGCACAGCCACCTGACAATGTCTTCAATGGGATCCCCGCATGACTGCGAGTTAACGCCGAAACGTGGGCAGTTGTCCAGCTCCACTTCATTGAATAAGTAAAGGTTGCCTTTCACCCCAAGCGGAACGTATTGTCATCAGCAACTAATGACCTTTCAAGGCCGCGCCGCTGTCGCGCCGAAACGCGACAATTGACTGTACCAAATAAGCGACCACTCGAAAGTCTTGAGTCTGAAACGATAACTTTGTCGCAGGTTATTGGACAAGAACCAGATGTAACTTTCAGTCCGCAACTAGACTTCATACTCCAATAAGTGTCCGATGTGTGATGAGGATGTTATTCGGTGAGTTTCGTATCACAGCAAGCATCCATGTCGTTAGTTATCTTGATACAAAGGGAGGACAGTCTTGAAACACAGCTGCGTGCGAGGGAACAAGCTCCGTCTATATTACGAAAAAAATACTGATTGACTTGTGATTTTGTTCGTATTCTTACTTTGGATAAGTAGACATTTATTCTTGGTTTTACTTACAGCATGGTAGATGTTTTTTCCTCTCTCAAGAAAAATCGGGGAAAGAAAATATACCATGCAGGATCTCAAATTTATGAAACAACATTCGGAAATATAACCTTCGATTGGATCGAATCTCATTCCCAGTCAGTGAATTGCAGACAAGTTCTGGGATTGTTAAGTGCAGACATGCACACGTCAAAGCCAAAATCCATGACACAATCCAGAATTGCGGGGCTAACTGTAGAAGTGGAGCGGCAGAAACATGCCACCATCAAGCACAAACAACTCGCCTACTAGAAATACAACAAAGGCTGGTCAAGGAGATCATGCGACCGGATGATGATTCTTATAATGACGAAGGCGAATAGATCGTCTATATACTACTACCCTACCCGGTGAAATCACCAGGTAGGGTCTAAATGACGTAAAGATAACAAGATACCATAAATAATCTTTTCAGGGGATTACCATATGAGAGTAACATAACTGCAGAAGGTGTGTTTATATTGTGTTGGCTAAACCTTGATGATGTCTATTATTATTGTATTGTCATTAAAACCAGAATTTATTTATTGCGATGAATCAATTCCAATTTAAGATATGGTAAATGACAATGAACTTAGTGAGGGAGTCAGTGAGACTCAAAAAAGATTTTACTGCTCTTAACACAATACACGTGAAGATATACAGCGTTTATGATGTAGTAATCTGTAAAGTGACAAAAAGTTTTGACATTATTGATTAGACAGTTAATCAATCAATTTACGTGGAAAAGTTGCTGCCATTTTTACTTTATTCCGGCTACTCACAAAAGGAGAAATTGCAAGAAAAATTATAATAGTTAAAATATTATGACGAGCGGAGATGTAATTGTATTTATTACAGCAGTAAAATTAATACATCATCTAATTCTGACTATAACCCGATCGAAAGAAATGCTCTAACTAATTTGTAAATTCAACGAAACTGCGTTGTGAACTTTTTATTGAAAATTCCGTATTAAATTTTATTAATAAATCTAGTCTTTCTGGCTTTCGGTCAAAGAATATCGAACACGCTTTAGAATTGATTTATTAAACCCAGATCAAACAAAGGTATAGATGTACTCATAGAGGCGAAGGAATACTTGAGAGAACAAAGGGTCTCAATTGAGCAACAGCACACAGGAGATACGGTTTTTAGAAAGAGAAATGGTCCATGGTTACTGCTATTACTATGTAAAATTAATCGAAGCGGAATGTTTTCCCCCCAATTTCAGCGTTGTAACAAAGAAATTCTGGCCAAGCAACGCAATGCTATCTTACCACATTTGCGTATATTTTATTTTGGTAGTAACAAGCTTTAACAGTACCACATGTTATGTAATATGCAGAGTCATGGCCATCGACATGAAGCGGTTCTGACTAGAACAGTAATTTGCACTAATAAATGATATCAACATTTACGCACGCAGTTTGACAGAGTGACATCAGAATGCTTGACTCCAATCAATGAAGAATGGTGTATAGTCTCGCTTAATAAGGGTATACTACGGCTCTTCAGCCTGTTAACATTTCGGGAATGTTTAGACAATATGCACTCACGATCACAACTATCCCAACTACCGTCCTTCTTTTACGTCTACGCCTACCTCTCTCTATCTCCGTCTCTGTCCCTACCCCTATCTCTGTCTCTACTCCAATCCCTGCCCCTATCTCTATCTCTGTCTCTACTCCAATCCCTGCCCCTATCTCTATCCCTGTCTCTATCCCTGTCTCTATCCCTGTCTCTATCTCTATCTCTATGCTCATCTCTCCTCTTCTTCCTACTTTCCATATCTCGTCCCTCGTCTTTCCTTTTGTTCCTCCTTTCTATATCTCGTCCCTCATCTCTTCTCCATTCTCCCTTTTTTCCATTAATCGCTCTATCTGCCAACCTCTTCTTCCTCTCTGTCTCCTCAAGAATAATCTGTTCCATAGCTGTAAGTTTCCTTTGTTCCTTTTCTTTCGGAGGCTGTGGCTTGTGCGTTTGTATGTTGGATTCTTTGACTAATGCACTAAGTGACTTCTTCTGTTGTGTTTGCTTCTGAAAGGAAAGCGACGGTGTGGTGGATACAGAAGTTGGAGTTGTAGAAGGGTTGGAGGAAGCGGTTACCGTGGATACTGGAGATGAAGAGATTGCAGCAGAAATGTTTAGTGTTATTTTCTCTTCTTCTGCTTCTCGTTTTAGTTCCGTGTAGTTTTCGGAGAGCTGATTTGGAGTGGAGAATTCAAGATGATATCAATGTGAGATCATTTAAACAAGAATGACAATGCGGATCATTAATATATTCCTCATACCTTCTCCATGATGCCGGAAGCAGCAGCTTCTTTTGTTGCCCTCTCGACCTGTTCGTCAATCATTCTTCGTGAATGCTCTTCGTCCAATTGTTCTTGGCGTTCTTTTTTCAATATTGCTTCCTAATTAATTTCCATCACAATTACATTAAGCGTTACTAGATTATGCTAAAAGCAAAACAAACTGAGACCAGAAAGGCTTACCTGTCGCGCAAGCGCCTTCGGGCTGTTATCGATCCAAGCTATAAACCATCCTTTCGGCGTCTCATCGACAGCACAAATGCCTTGCCTCCCAAGAGATTTGACAAAGTCTGTTAGAGTTTCCCACTGAGTGGCATTCATGTGCAAATGATGCCTATCAGATATGTACTCTTGATATACGAGATTCGCGTGAACTCGTTTTGTTCCCCATCTTTAACGAAGTTACGGAGAAGGCGACTCGGTGAGGATTTGGGCATATTTCTATATTGAATGTTAGAATTTCAAGTTATCGAAATTTTTTCGCAAACAATAAAGGTAATACCTGCGCGAAAGCAGCTTTATAAAATCGTCTAGGAATTCCTTCGAGTATCCTTGCATATACATTTCTGGACTCTCGGCAAACAGACCCATTTGACGTTGGTGAGATTCCGAACGTATATGACACTGGAAACCGTTCTCATCACGGCACTGTTTCTGACACATCTGACAATACCAACGTAGCTTTTGAAGGCCCTTTGCCTAATAGACGACCGAGCAATTTAAAGATTAGATCAGATCGTCCAAACTGAAAATATACGACAAGCCAGTTCAGTCGACTAGTACCTTAATTCTGTTGGCTATAGCCTTTGGAGTCAGGAACTCGTGCTTTGGCATATTTAAGTTGTTTGAGTATTGAACATATACTTCGAGATTCAAACTAGACAATCATAAGTACTTCCGCAGTATCTCACTTTATTAATCTGGAAACATTTTTGTGCAACATGTGATTTTAAAATGTGAATCGTAGAGGGTCTGTAAGTAGGTCTATCAAAATATCATATGGACACAGAGACGACTGAACAGTGTTGGCCTATATCATTTTATTGTTAACAATTAACTGGTTTGGTATGTCTTGCATCAGTAACTACTGTATTAACAATAAACATCAAATTTACGGGTAAGCATATTGCTCTGCTTATGCTAGACCATTACACAATTAATTGTTATAGACCGTAGAACACTTATAGTACCCCGGGGGATGTACCCAGGGTCGGGTCCTAGCATGATGATCATCACTTTAACAGGGACGTGTCACCTGATTCTGTCTGGAATACGTGATGTTTACAAGAGAGATTCACGGTATAAAAAACAAACGTCTTAAACACTTTGAATCAAAAATTTCTCTCCTCTTTCTCCACATACAGTTCCAAGCATGACAACGACGCGCCAAAGCCAAAGTCCAACCTTCCGCAGCTCTCCTCACACTCGTAGCCAGACGCCGTCGGTAAGTAATGAGCCCCTTCTTGTTCGCGTTGAAATTCGCGTTGAAATTCATGACATCTTATCATTTTTTACAGAAATCGAAATTTAGCTTCTTCACCTCTTGGATGTCGTCATTATCACCCCCGACAACCTGGTCGAAATCCAGTTTGTCTACAGGATCACTCTCGCCGACCGGAAGCAGGAGCCGGAGCTTATCACCTCTCCGTGGGAACCTGGGATCGTCGCCTAGTGCTTCTCAACCGGAGAGACTATATATAATAGACGACTCTAGCGACGAGGGGCTTACAGAAGATAAAGATGTTGAGACCGTTGTAGGCGCAGAAGTACGCGATAGTGACTATGAAAATGACCCGGTAGTGATTATAAACGATTCGGACGACAGCCCAAATGAAAATTCCGTAATTGGAGAGTCTATTCGCATGAGAAAACAAACCGAGGACGAGCTTGGGAGAATTCTACAGAATTATGATACAAATTACGAAGGAGACGATCGTGGTGACGAAGACGTGTGGTATGAAGATTATACATGCAATCGTTGGGCAAACCGCCTGCCAGATACAACGCCTAGCTTGGGCGAATCTACCATATATCAAAGTATACGGAAGATCGATGACGACGCCGTTTGTTGCCTATGTGCTGGTCCTGGTTTCTTTATGAACTCCCTTGTCACATGTGACGCTTGTCATACGGCTTATCACCAAACATGTCATTTACCTAAAATTCCTGACTACACGGTACGCTTACACAGAAGGGGACAAAGTTGGGTTTGCTCAACTTGCTTTGGTGGTTCTATACAAATAATTTCGGATCAAATGCCCAATAAAAGACAAAGTAAGACCTTTAATGAACAGTTTATATTTGGTCGTTCTAAAAATTAAACCATCCATTTCATTTGATATTTTCGTAGAGATAGCGAGTTATGAGTATGATGATGAATTGCAAGCGAGCAAAAGGCGGAATTGGGTATCGCCTGTCTTGAGCACTCATAACAAAAGCACAAATAGCTCTTATACTTCTATTGCAAGCCACCACCACGGAAGAACCCCACCTAAACTTAAAATGGCAAGCCCAAACCAAAATGAGGACAATAATATCAAACAAGCCCTAGCACAACGACAGGAAACTTCTACACGGTCACGCCGTTTCGAAAGAAGAAAGGCTGCGGCAGTCGAATTTCAAATGCGGCTTGCGAGCGGCCGCACAAGCAAAGAAAGAACGAAAGATAATAATAAGTATAAAGAGAGAGAGAGAGGTGGGGGAAAAGAGAGAGTAAGGAATAGAGAGAAGGTAAAGAAGAAGAAGAAGGTAATGGAAAGGGTAAGGGAGAGAGTAAGGGAAAAGGAGAGGGGAAGGGAAAAGGAAAGGGGAAGGAGAAGGGAGAAGGAGGAGGGAAGGAGAAGGGAGAAGGAGGAGGGAAGGAGAAGGGAGAAGGAGGAGGGAAGGGAGAAAGAAAGAGATAGAAATAGAGATAGACAAAAACATTATAGGGAAAAGAATAAGGAGAAATATAGAAATGAAAAAGAAAAGAAGTCTGAGAAAGAGCAAGATTTAGAAGTGAACAGCGAGGATAGTAATGATAGGGATAAAGACAAGATGGGACGGAAAAAGTATGATGTAAATGCCATATCTAAAAACGAGGAGAAATCGTCTAACGGTCGAAGTACAGATCCAGCCAGTATTTTTGTGCAGCGCGAAGAGCCGAATTTTGACATTCTGTCGCTAGTTCCTCCAAATGTAATACCATGCTTAAACTTCAATGTGTTGGCATTTCGCGAAGGAACAATAGATCCAAAAAGGGGCAAGCTCAAGAGGGGGAAGGCGTATCCAATTACGCGATAACTGGAGCAATATCTAGTTGCTTATTGGTTTCATGTATTAGTAAAAAATGTTTAGAATTACTCTACGAAAAAACTCTCAACGAACACTTTTATTAAAAGCTTTCCAGTGATCATTCGTCCAATATTTTTAGGACTTCCTCAATTTTAGCTAATTTTTCTCGCGGTTTGCCCTTTTGTTGCCCAAGCTCGCTTTCTCTAGCCTCTATCTTCTTCCAGTCCTTGTAGGAGACTGTCCTAATACCTCTCTGAGCAAGCAATGGTAGTATTGCTGTCGCGCCTGGTTTCATGTTACTGGCAACACCATTCAACATGGGCTTATTGGACTGGAGATCAGAAATAATAACCTCTGCAGTTTCAAACGCGTCGTACATTGTTGCTGCTATTACGCCCGTAGCTCCGCGTTTCAGCCAGCCCGCGACGTACATTCCCGGTAACTTGTCGACAAAGCATTGAAGGCAGTAGGATTAATTTCAACGATTTTTCAGACCAATGAGCTTTCTAATTCAATCTCACCTCTTTCCCATCCGAGTCTGTGATTTTCCCTCTCTCATTATAAACCAGACCACGGTCCTTATCAAACGGAATACCCTCTACTGGAAGACTTCTATAACCAACACTCTTAATTACTAAACCGGTTTCAATGGTCTCTATTTCTCCAGTAGGTATTGCAATGGACGAACGGACGTCTCCCTCGAGTTTATTCACGCTAAATTCTACTGCCTTTACAAATCGTGTGTGAGAATCATTGCCACCAACGAAGGCGGTTGGGCTTCGTAGAAATTTGAGAGTCCAAGACTTATCGCCCTCTACATTGTAGATACCCTTTTCGAGAATCTGAGTCAATCTTTTAAGAGAACGAACTGTTGATATGTAACTAGCATGATTGGAGAATTCTTCTTTTAAAAAATCTACATCGGTATGAAATCGGGTATTCGGTAGCTGAAACATCTCCCGAAGCTCTTTTGTAGTGAAAGATATCTAGACAAGTAAACAGTTTGTAGATCGATAAGGTCATAGAACTAAATATTTGATCATGCAAAATATGTAAACCGTATGCTTACTTGTAAAGGACCACGCCGACCAACCAGTACAACATTTTTTATCTTACTCTGCTTGAGCGTTTCCAGGGCATGCTCTGCTATATCTGTTGTGCTTAATGTAGAAACGTCCATCAACAATATTCGCGCCACATCCAAGGCAACATTCCCATGTCCAATTACAACCGCTGTGTCCGTTCGCGTGAGATCAAGTTGCAGATTGTAGTCCTGAAACAAACCATTATACCAGCCTACAAAGTCTCCAGCAGACAAAACATTCTTCAGCGATCCGTCGTCGCCTTTGATTCCCAATTTCTTTTCCGCACTTGCTCCGTATGATAGGACGATTGCGTCATAATGGGGCTTTAATTCAGTAACAGAGATGTCCTTTCCAAGACTTACATTACCAATAAATTGGAAACGAGGATCACTGGCAACTTCATCGAATTTATGCTGTACGTTCTAATCAATTGTTACCGACTACTGTTACCGATTAACCGTGCCTGCAATAAAAATAGGTCAGGAAGCGCTGTAAGATACCTTGACTTCTGGATGATCAGGTGCTACGCCATATCTGACAAGACCAAATGGTATGGGAAG